CGGCCACGTTAGCAGCAGCATTACTAGTGGACGTGTGACCTCCCGCGACCAACGTGCAACAGGCGCGGAACCATTGGACCAAAGGGGCGATGGCAGCCTGTCGTGCAGGATCCGCGTGAGTCATCTCAGGGGTAAGGACTTCCGCACGGAACTGGGGAAGACTGTACTGTCCTTCGGGACGGGCCACAAGGACGGCTTCAGAGAGATAGGACGGAAGAGGCATCACACGACGGACCCGGAAGACATCAGTGTCCGCGACACCGCCGCCGTGGGGGCCACTGTGTAGCACAGGAGCCGGCACGGCGGTGAACATCGTTCCTCCGTCAATAACTGTCATGTTGTGGCAGGTTACGTCAGCCGTGCGCTCGAACGCTGACATAGGAAGGACTACCGTGATAGCGCTTCGAAGGTCGTTCCCCACCACGATAGCGTAGAGATTGTCGTAAGGAGAGACCTGGCTAGGATTCACGGGGTAAGCGTAGAGTGAATGTCCAATGTAGATATTCGTTTCGTCATTCTGGAGGACGAAGCCAAAGGTGACAGGTGAACGAAGGCAAAATTGGCTCATAGCGCGAGAGGCAACATCACGATTCGCATTCGAGGCGCCGCCCACAGAAGTGAGGATATCAGTGTAGTTAGGAGCATGTACCTCCCATGCCGCTGCACGAGAGACGAGATCCGAGAAATTAGAGCTGGCCATGGTGAGGGTCGAAAAGATACGAAACCTGATGCCGGCGCAAGAGATTAATCTAATCTAGGTTCTTGCCTTCAGCGTCGGCTGAATGAAGAATTGTGAGCTGAGAGAGAGACAACCTTCTTGCGATCGGCAGTTCAATGGCTGATCTTGGCTAGGTCGCTGGCTTTAGTGATTCATGGTTGCCGCTGTCGATCTTGCCAAATGTGGTCTTGGACGGGCGTCGTTGCCTTAAGGGTAATCTTGTTTGAGAGGCATTGAGGAGCTGATGCGGTGCATCATCATGTGGGGTATCCATTTCCAGAACACAGGTGATGACCTGCGAGATGTAGAGATGTACTTGAGTTGTAGGTGAGGAGCGCGGGAATTAATTTTGCAAATTGTGAGATGGTTCTCTCGGCAACCATGATTAGGGTCATAATTGCGAGAACCCATCAGGGTTCAAGTTTCCACGCTGCGGGGCGTGGAAACTCGGACGGGGGGTTCCCGAGGCGTGTTGCTGCTCAACACGAAACCTTGCTCGCTTACCCTGACTTCAACGATACATTCGTTATCCACACGGATGCAAGTGATACGCAACTGGGTGCAGTGATTTCCCAGAAGGGAAAGCCTATCGCGTTCTACACTATGAAGCTCAATCCTGCTCAAACACGGTAAACAGTTACAGAGAAGGACCTTCTCAGTATCGTAGAAACTCTAAAAGAGTTCCGTAATATTCTTCTCGGGCAGAAGATTATCGTACGGACGGACCACAAGAATCTTACATGTAAGAACTTCAATACCGATCGCGTTATGCGATGGCGTCTTGTTCTGGAAGAATGTGGCCCTGAGCCACGGTACATCAAGGGCGAACACAACATCGTCGCTGATGCATTGTCAAGACTTAACATCTTCGACAATGATGGTTCTTCAGAACAAATGGAAGCCAGTGAGATCACTGAGCTCATGGCTGCAGACGAAGAGGACTTCCCCAGTGAGTTTCCTCTCTCGTTCCCCGAGATCGAACATCATCAGAAAGACGACAACGATATCAAGAAACTCCTCAGGGACAAGCCAAACGACTACAAGAAACAATCTTTCCTCAGAGGGAATAAGTCCTATGACTTAGTAGTCAAAGACGACAAGATCATTGTACCCAAGACTATACAGAAGAAGCTAGTTGAATGGTACCATGGTGTACTGATGCATCCTGGCGACACGGAACTTACCATCAGTCAACACTACACCTGGAAAGGAATGCGCAAGACTGTGCAGTCCGTATGTCAGCGTTGCCAAAGCTGCCAGATGAACAAACCCAAAACGCGTCCGCTGGGATTGATGCCTCCCGAGACATGTGAGGAGATCCCTTGGGAAAGACTATGCATTATTTGACCTGATATGTCCATACAACGTCGGGGATCCTAAGAAGAAGAATTCCTGTACACTTCATTGCTTGACAATGATCGATCCCGTAACTGGATGGTTCGAGATCGCAGAGATCTGCTCCAAGGCAGCAGACGAGGTAGCCCACAAGACCAAGGATTCTTGCTGCTTTGGTTCCGCTGTTGCCATTCACAAGATTACCCAAGATGAACAACACATTGACCCAAGAGTCGATGCTTCTTTCATATTTGTCGTTGCCACCGGCATTCTCGTGCAATATGGTTTGGGTAGGCTTGTTGCTTGCTGCTGTAAGTGTAGTCGCAATCTTCATTCATACATGCCAGTTTGAATGAGGACACAATGCAGCAATTGTGGATGCTCAATTTGAGGGACTCATTCTTGCAATCTTCTCTGCGGCAAGGCTGTTGACTGAAACATTCTTTGAGTTGCTCGACTTCAAGAATGACTCTTTGGTGGGGCTTTGTGTTGAAGCTGGTGTTGGCTTGTCCATCCTCTTCAGTGGTAACACCCTCTTGTTCTTCTCCTTCCAGCAATAGATCCTCTTGAAATTCCGGTGCAGTTGGATTCTCCTCATCATCACTCTCAGCCTCATACAACTGCCTCTGCATGTAATTTGGTCTTCCTTTACCGTTGTGCCTTGTTCTTGTAGTGACACTGCCAGAGCTTGAAACTGACACAGCTCCTTTGACCTTAACTTGTTTGCAAATTCAGCTGCAGCATGTACTTTTCTCGGGCCTGCATTGGGAGTTATGGTGCGAGGTTGGCTATATGACTGTTTGCTGTGCTACGTTCCATTATTGGCTGTTCGGTAGTGGCAGCGATAGATCGACGATGTATGTTTTCCTCTGTAAGCAATATGTGCCAACAAACCAATATGCGTGGGTTCAGATCATTTCAAGGATATTGAAATTTGGTGCTAACAGGATAGCTCGACTGGCTCGTGCATGTATGAAAAACTTATAGACGAAAACAGAATTGGTTCGCGATCGATCTTACAACCTCAAACTTTTGGCTCGAACTCGGATATCGCCAATCCAGTGAGAGTACCAACCAGCGAGATTCCGGATTCCGTACATATGTCAGAATTACATCTATATCCGAGCAAAAACAAGCTCAAATACTATTACAGCCTACGACTGGCTTACTAGTTGTAAGCGCCCACCTTAAAGGGATGGCCACGTGAAGAATTCAAAAATGCGAATTTTAAAAGACCCTTAAAATGCAACTGTTTTCTACTTGTTTTAGACTCTATTTGACTGAAATTCGTGCCTGGTGGGAGGTTCTGAATGCCAATACCCTCATTCATTCACTGTCTTCCCTTTCATCTGACTCCTCCAGTTCGAACTGCAACTGTTGAAGCTGCACTTCATTGACTGATACACCGTCATCTTCCAACTCTTCGCCATCGTCCTCTTTCTCCTCGTCGCTCTCAGACTTGTAGACCACCTTGTCGCTCACAGTGCGAGTCTCGTTCCATGTGAATGGGTTGTCTTTCTTTCCAGCCGCAACGTCATCCTTTAAATAGGCTCATCATTGCTTCCACCAAATCATCGTCTAGTGTTAGCAGCTTCTCTCGTTGAGCTTTTTGATAAGCCCTTTCAGTATCTTTCCGATTTCCCTTTCGTGCAGACTTTTCTTTGGATGCCTTTCTGTCCTAAAAAAACAGCCTTTCGCTTCAATGATCCGGTCCAATGCTTGGCTGGTCCTTGACGTGATACCTGTCTTGATAAACTCAGGAATCAGCTGGTACTTTCATGAATCCGTCCTTGTCCCAACTAGTCCGTTCCATTGCATCGAATAAGCGATGAGGAGTAGAGCCGTCAAACTTGACTGGATGATCCTTTCTTTGGAAGGTGAAAGCTCAGGGCAATATTCTTGGAGAGAGCAATGTTGACATCACTAAACAGATGAGTGTCTAACGGCATCAATTCCGGAGAATCTCCCATGAGCTTGTTCTTGTAAAGATTCAGAGCCCTTTCGGAATAAGGAACGACCAGCTTGACAACTCTTCGTACCAGGTTCTGTTGCGCCAATCAGGAATACCACACTTCAAGCTCCGGAGATAGTCCAGAGTATCCTTTTCCCAAAAGATCTTGAGATGGTTATGATAAAGCATCCACGTGTCTTCGAAGTCTGTGTCTTCGAAGAGTCGATTGCCTTCAGAGATGCAGTCATCAATCCAGTCTTGAACTGAGCAATATTTGCCAAAGCTCGGTGTTTTCTTGACTTCTTCCAACCAATTCGCTCCGTACCAGGCTTTAAACGGAGTCTTTCGCTTCTTGAACTTCGACCAAACCTTTGTGTCTTTGCCTTTCCAATTCTTGTGCCGAGCAACAATCAGAGCAATCTTTATTTTGGCTTGTTTCATAGACAACATCTTCTTCTCTGAGTAGCCCCATGTTCTCATGAAGCCAGGAGTGCAGTCTTCCTTGTTATTGGGTGTTCCATCATGCATGTCATGATAGATTGGCATTGCACATCCATAGCCGCCGCGAGCTTCTTTCGGATACTTTGGTTGCACTCTTGTCTTTCGGACTGGAAGCTTTCCACCATCAGCCAGTTTTTTAAGAGTGAAATCTTTCGGATCAATAGCAATTCAGTATTGCAGATTGGCATTGGCTCCACTGCGACCGGAGCTAGCAATGACACATTTCTTGTGGCTCTGGTCTACGAACAGCATCCTCCCGTGAAGTTGTAGTGGTGGGAGCTCCTTGACAGCCTCAGCATAAGTCATCTCTCCAGAATAGACCAAATCCCCAAGCTCATATTGTCGTTTCATTTGTTTGCGGAACAAGACACGAACTCGTTTTGGCCCAAGCAGAGGTTTCATCCTTGGATCCACTCTTCCGCCGGAGGATTGCATTGGCTTCCACATCCGTGTAGGCAGAGAGAGTGCTCACCAGAATGTTCGGCAGATTGTCAGTCATTCGTCTCCGGTTATTCGGTTATTCGTGGCGTTGCAAATGACGGCAGCCAATTTGGTGACGTTTTGATATTCAGTGCAAACGCCACAGCAAGGAGACCTTTGTTGTCCGGAGCAAGCTTGCTTGCGTGGACGTTCCTGTCGTTCAATGCAAGACAGATCGTCTTTGCTAGCCAGCTCGATCACCCGCAAGATGGGAGCTTTGGTGCCTCCGGTCTCGTTTGCCATCGTCTTGACTATTTCATTCCATTCTTTCGGAGCTGGCTCGTTGAATCTTTCTTGATAACAGATGAGATAATAAATCCACCACCATTCATTTGGAATGTAGATCTTGTCTTGAGATTCGGCCTCATCCTTCTTGAGACAACCGCTCGATAGTGGCATTGTCAGCTTTGGACTGCGAGCGGCAGCTTTGTCGCGAGCTTTTCTGTCTTCTTGTCGCTTCTGTTCCGAGGCGTGATTCTTCTTTCGATCTTCGGCGCACTGCTTCTTAGACCCAGAGCCATTGCGTGGTGACAGTCCTCTCTTATTCTTTTCTCCCTTGTCAAAGGGCATATCGTTTTGTCTGTTAACTTGCTGTTGTCTGTTGTTATTTGTTGTTCTGGTGTGAGATTTGATTCGGCGTGGTGGGCGAAGGTTGTTGATGAATCTTGACATTGGTTCGAAAACCTCCCATTTCTGGAAAATTTGATTTTGATCTAATCGCGGGTCGGTCATCAAAATTTCAAAAAGACCGAGTGAACCTAGTAACGGAATTTGAGAACCCTCGCTAAAACTCATAAGTAAACCACTAATTTGGGGTAGCACATCTGCCGACTGTTGACATGGGTAGACGAAAATCGGTGAATGTGTTGAGGTCGACTATACTCTCTTTATACCGATGAATTAAGCTACGAGCGATTTTTAACTCTCGCAAAGCCACAGGAAGGTAATTCTTGAATGCCCTGTAGTATCCACGATTGAGTGTTCGCAGTCTTGCTCCTGTCATGCCACCACTTGCTACAGATGGTCCAAGACATAACTGCTTTTATGGCATTTTTTTCGCACTGGCAATTCTAAGCCTCTGGGCAAGCGCAATCACAGCCACACAGGGATTCAGAGCAATCAAAGCTAAGATGCTTGATCCCACACATATCCCGTGGAATAGTTCCAGTAATAGAGGTTCCTAGAAACATAGCGGGTTGAGCATGTGGCGGTCAGAAGACAGCAGACTGCTGAACAGAACCACATAAGGTGCTTCTTACCGCCAATTTTAAACGCTTGAAGCGTCCTGTTCAATAATGTATATTCAAAGGGGATAGACCCAGTCAATCCTGGGTTTCCTTGCACACTGATTGCCTAAAAGAGCAGATCCAAGAGGCAACAAGCTGTTGAGATCCAAGAGGATTATGCGAGCACAATTGGATCCTCATAGGTGCCTACCTGTAGGCTAGTTAGCACCCCCCACTCTGACGGTAAAGTTCCATAAAAGTTACTTTCCTGTCCAAGCAACCTTTCCAGGTTTGCACACCCACCGAGCTCTGTGGGGAGGGTACCAGAGACTCCAGTGTTATGGAACCCAAGATCCCTTATCGCAGTCAAGAGGCCTATTGAAGACGGTAAGGTTCCACCGAATGGACTTCTGCTGAAGTCTAGGATGCTTAGTTTTGGCAAGCGAAAGCCAATATCACTGGGAAGTGATCCCGTAAGACGAGTGGAACTAAGTCGAAGCTGTTTGAGGTTGGATAGCATGAAGAGTGCTTGGGGCAATGTCCCTGAATACGCAAGAAATAAAAGTGAGAGATGCCATTTGAATTCATTGATGGAGCCATCACTGGTGCACAACTGACCTGTTAGTTCATTGTCAAGTAATGAAAGGTTTTCTAGTGTGTCTGAGAGGAGACCAATTTCAGACGGAACCGTTCCTTGTAACTATTGATTGAAGAGAAACTGTGAGTATCAGATTGTAGGTGGAAGGGATGAACACGACCACGCTGGCACTCACTTGATTTTGGTACAATGCGAACACCCAAAGTTTCGGCAGAGCAAAGATCTCTGTTGGGATTGTGCCACCAATGGAGTTTCGAGATATGTCAAGAATTTCTAAGGATGTTAGTAACCCCAGCTCCCCAGGCAGCGAACCCTGAATGTTGTTTTGCTTGATACCAAGGAACTTCAAACTTTTGTTTCCATTGCAAGCTTCATGTCCTCTAACGATTCCTGTTGAGTACCAGTCACACTCTGAGCTTGAATTGCTGTACGACAGCCATCTCTCTGACGTAATGTTTATCCAAGTGATGCCAGGTTCAGTTGATGTACCTTGTTGAAGCACTCTGGGTATTATGTCCTGCATCGTTTGCCGTGTGCGTAACATTCTGCCCCCACCTTGTCCGCCATTGTTGCTGTTTCCTCCTGGCGGCCTACTACCGTTGCTGCCCCCACCTTGTCCGCCATTGTTGCTGTTTCCTTGTGGCGGCCTACTACCGGTGCTGTTTCCTTGTGGCGGCCTGCCACCAGCACTGCTCCCTCGTGGGGGCCTACCCCTGTTGCCGCCTTGGGCTTCTGCTGCAATAGTCACTGTGCCTCCACCCTGATGTATCCATTCTTCGCCCAATGTGGAAAAGTAGAATACTGCCATGACAAATCGCTGCAGAAGTCTTTCCTGCGAATAGGTTTGCCGGTATGGATCTTGGAGAACCCAAAGGTAGGCTTTTGATACTGCCGTCTCATTGCCAAAGGGGTCCTGCATTATGACATGCATAGTGGTGTTGGAGATTGGAAAAGGCAAGTCCCAGGTCCAAACAGAATTATTGGTGGGGGTTGGTGCCAGTGTTGTTGGGACTGGGGCGGCGACTGTTTCCTTTTGTCGCTTTCGTGTCCCAACCACCGTACCAACAATAATTGCAGCGGCAATAACCACCATGACCAGAAATCCAATGAATAATATTTTCTGCCGTTTCTTCTTTCGTTGTCTTTCCTGAATCCTGGCAATATCCACCGGATCTGCGTTGGGCCTGATTAGGTCTCCACTGGGATCATCAAGAACAAGACTGGCAACTGCCAGTTGCCGGCCACTGATTGTAGTAGTAGTAGTGACATTGTAGTTGGAATTGTGGTTGTGACTTTGTACTGTGAATGAATCGGTGCTTGGATCTGTCATAATCGAGAGTGGCTCCCCATAGTTCCCCACAAGAGAGAAACGAAGTGTAGTAGCTCGTTGCAGTGCTTCCCCCGGAGCACCCCCATAGGCTCCTGGTCTGGTTGGCTGTTGTTGTCTCTGCAGAGAGGGTGGGTTTGCCACTGTGGTGTCTGGTTCTCTTTGACTACTTGACGTCTGTGCTGCTGCTGTGTCTCGTGAGGTCTGTGCCGCTGTGTCCCGTTTGTTTCCTCCACGAAAGAAATCCATCTCGCGCGGGGTCGACGCATATCTAGGATTTCTTGCCACCTTTGCGGCACACTTTTCCGTTGCGGCAGCTTCGTTGATATCAACTGCCATTTGAATGAGTGATGGCTGGGTTGTTGTGTCCGTTGTTTCGCTTGAGGTCGGCGCATATGTAGGAGTTCCCGACACCTTGGCACATTTTTCGACTTTGGCATCTTCGTTAATGTCAATTGCCATTCGAATGAGCTCGTCGCGATTTCCGTGCTTATGCTCAAGTTCGTCTCTTTCTAGCTGTTCTGCTTCCGCTAAACCGGCTTGCTCCGCCACAATTCTCGTGATTTCTTCGTCCACAAACGTTTCACTGGTGGCCTGATGTTGTTGTTTCGCATGCAATCCATTGATTCGCCTGGTGGCTGGCATCGTCTTGTCTCTGCTGGCAACTTGATTCTCTTCCTCGAATTTCGTCTCGTCGCCGCGATTCTGTGCAGCTTCGGCTCTCGTGATGACACTCTCTGCATCAAGTTCTTCTGGTTGCCTGGTGTTTCCATCACCACCGTCGACTCCATCCTGCTTCGAATGCTCGCTTCCTTCCATGCTGTCTATCATCAATGTTTCAGTGTCTCGAAATGAAATGCATCACACCATCAAATTTTTACTGCTGCTTGCTGCCATTGCCGTGACCAACCCTTCATTGGTGGAGCGAATGATCAACCGCATAGGCTTTTTCTTTACAGGACTCGGAACAGAACACGTATGACAACAGTAGTACCACCGAACGTCACCAAGCATTGTTGAACTGGTACAGTACTGTACTACTGTACCGGTACTAGGTAGCCACTAGCTAGGTAGCGCAATGATCCAGTCGAGGTTGGCTTCTGCCGGTGCACGGTGCACGATGCACGAGGGGCGCACCGGTAAGTGCTGGCAGAGGTCCGTGTGTGCCTACCTAATGGTACCGATATCGGTTTGATCGACGAAGTTACTATGGGTTAGAGGGAACTATGATGAGGATGGGGTGCAGAGAGAGGAGGGCAAGAGGCACGGTACAGTAGTTTGATTGTTGAAGCGATGCTTTTATGCCTGTGAAGCACCTGTGCCGTTTTTGAAACATTCTTCTCCCACCTTGCGCTCCGTCGTTGTTTCCACCTTGTCCTCTGTTGTTGGTGTTATCACCTTGTCCACCTCCCTTGTTTCCACCTGGCCTGCAATTGTTGTTGTTCCCTCCTGGTCTGCCACCTGGTCTGTCAACACTTGTTGCAATGAAAACCGTGCCTCCACCCTGATGTATCCATTCTTCACCAGCGATGAATCCTTTCTTTGTAGAATATTGCCATGACAAAGATCTGAAGAAGTCGTTGCTCAGAATAGATTTGCTGGTTTGGATCTTGAAGCACCCAGAGGTATGCCTTTGATAGTGGTCTGTTGTTACCCAAACGATGCTGCTTCAAGGCATGCATAGTCGTGTTTGGGATTGGAAAGGGTAAATCCCAGGTCCAAACAGAATCATTAGCTAGTGTGTACAGTCGTAGGGTTCCAGATTCCAAGCTCCCGTCTCCTGGTTGGATGGTACGATGTAGTGCTCTGAGGTCGCCCCCGGCTAATATCATTTGCAATATTGGGGATATAGTCTTATGTTATTACAGTACTGGCGCTTTGGTGGCTGCGTGTCTGTGGGTTGCCGAGGGTACCGAAAGAATCTGCATGTTTGTTCTAGAATGTATCTTTTCATTGCATGCTTCTGCAGCACATTCACTTCTCGATCAATGAATTTGAGGTACCGGTACGGCACCGGCCATACCGGGAACGAAGTAGTTCCAAAGTCGTTCCGCATGCTCGCTTGAATATAAGCAGTAGCTCATCAGTAATGCGTTTTGAATGAATATCGGTTTGTCGGCAGCAAATTGTGCTGGCGTAACAGAGGAATTGTTTCATGTAACATTAGTTTCCCCAGCACCGTTGACCGATCGCGCATTATCATTTGGATGCGTCTTCCTGCTCAGCCAACATACATGTTGGTGGCTGAAATGTTTTGCATTGCAGGCTTTCGTGGTCGCATATGGACCTCCTCGGTCTTTTGGTGGCGGCCTGCTTTTGTTTGTGTGGCTGCATGGTCCAGTCCTGTTGTCCCTGATGGGTCTTCCTCTTCGACTCCAGGGTTACAATGATAGGAGGCTTCGTCTCTTCGTCTGCTATGATGAGTGTTCGTACGGTACTGTACCGGTGGTTAGTGGTAAATCAACAACGGTTGGGAGTTCAGTGCTTCGCTTTATTAATAATAGGAAGAAGGTTTCTTTCGTGACGCGACTAATTTCGCAATCGTAGGGTTGAGGCTATCGATCTTTTACAAAAGGCACCATGCATGCTTCCTACGGTACAAATCAATGATCATCCGCCCGCCATGGCGCGAGCATATGTGGTGACCGAAGGAAGGATTGAGGCACCTCCGGTAGTGGTTGTGGATTTTGGGGTGGATCGAGGCCGAGGTCTGGTGGCAAGTTGGGGGATTGCCAAAGGCGAGGTTATCTTTACAGAAAAAGCCTTGGTGGGAGCCCAAGTTCCCGACGGTTGCCCTTCTTCTTCGACAAGTAGATGTACTGGATACAAGGTTCGAGCCTGTCAACAGTGTTTTCGATCGCTCGAACCAGGATCTTGTTTGGTACCGAATGGCCATGACAGCACTCCTACTACTACATGTAGTAGTATTCCCCTGCCTCATTTGTGGCCCGTCATGGAGTACTCATCGGACAAGACGGTGTCCTTGGAGGATCATCTTGTGGAAGACACGATATCACGACAAGTCACCTGCACTAACTGCCATATATGGTTCTGTACTCGATGGTGTGCCAAAAGTTACCAAGAAACGACGGGAAATTGTTGTCAGTCCACTCAGGCTGTGGCCAGTGCTATAAAAGCATTGGCATGTGGTGATGGTGATGATGATGACAACCAAGACGGTCGACACATTGACCCAGTATATGCCTTGACGACACGCATGTTTGCCATGCAACAACAACAATCCACAAACGGTCAATCCTTATTTGATGACCTGTGTGGAGATGCCAACGACATTACTGCCTTGCAACTGGGAGACTATTGTCCCCATACATACACCTTCTCCCTCGCCAAAGGATACGATCCAGTATGCCAAGCACTTGCATTGCAAGAACGCTCTTCTCTCGAAGAATTCCACAGACTCGCCGCCGTGGCACAACGCAATGGGATTTTGGTCACTACCAAGTCTCCCTTTCGAGAATACTACGGAGCCGTCCTACGGAATACCGGGGGAAGAGGTTCCACGAGACAACAGCAAGTCGTGTCGGAGATTGCTCAAATCCTGGGTGCTCCCGATGGCAAACTCACCCGGGAAATGGATGATATAGTCGAGGAGAAGGTGCGAGCGAAAGATTGCGGCATGTGTTTGACAGGCAGTGCATCGCACTTTAGTCCGTCTCCTGCCAAGTGTCGTCTTTATGTGCTGCTTGCTTGTGTTGGCTTACTCTCCCTTTCCTTACTTAGTGCGCTGTCAAGATGGCGGGATTATTCACTCTGACGGCCATTATGAATCATTCTTGTGATCCCAATGCGGAAATTCGAGGGAGCGAATACAACGATTGTCACATTGATATTGCTGCCAAAAAGAGGATTGAAAAGGGCGATGAAATCACCATTAGTTACTTGGATCTGGGACCCGGGGATGCCGCAACGAGCAACAGTACCATTGCACGGAATCGGAGACGACGACACTTGGGATCCAAGTATCTGTTTGTCTGCCAGTGTGCGCGATGCTCTAGCAAATAAACACATGGCAGCATCACCTCAAGTAGAAAGCGACAAGGCGATAAAGACAATCACTAGCTTGATATCCTGCCGTCGCCTGCGCTCTGCCGGTGGCTTGCCAGAGCGAAGCACAAGAGTTTCTTGAGGAAGACATCGCAGGGCCGGGGATTTGGAAAAGTTTGCCTGGACAGATACGCATTAATCTACGAAGGTTTGATACGCACATACGAGTTGTTCTACGCACGTAGACATCAAACATACTAGTATTAATAGCTACCTGGTACCGGTTGCTCAATAAATAGAATCTAAATTTCTACGTCGAACTACGCACACTTTACTACGGAGATCTTTCAGGGGTTAGGGATACTGAAAGCACGACTCGCGGTATCCACGATTTGTGCCTCTTGAAGACGAGAACCACCATCAGATCTTGTTTTAAAAGGGGGGTTTAGAGTAGGGTAATTATGCTTGCTTGTTGAGTGAGTGAGCACTCTTCCTCTTGCTTGGATGTTCAGATCATAATCTCGACTCAGACAAGGCATTGACTCTTTCCATCATTCATTCAATCTGTGTTGGACAGGATGGTGTCGCGGAATGGGCTGCTGGGACGAAGCTTGATAATGCGTGGTTTGGTACTTGGAATCCTCGTCTTTGTGACCGTTCTCGTTGTCACCCTCCCATTCTTGGGCCCGCCAACTTCGTACAAGTATAACTCCGCACAGATATCCGGTCTTGCATCCGTTCGTGGCGGGCTCCGATCCAGAGGTGAGTGAAGTGGTTGTGTCCACCAGAAAGCTCGAGGCCGCTCCACTCAAATGACACCTTTGCTACCGTGACTGCGCATCTTGCTTATGGGGCTACTACAACAGAGCATCTTGCCCATCTTCCCGCTCTGCTTGTGGCAAAGGAAGCAACAGAAGAGGAGTATGTAAGGCAGGCTAGTGTGAAGAAACAAGCCCTGATGGTGTCCCGTTCAATGCCCAGCATTGCAACTCAACCACTTCATGGATACGCCCTTGGAGGAGACAAGTTTGAAGCCAAACAAGAGAATGCCATCAAACAGACAAGCAAGGAACCCGTGTCCACTTTTTCTGTGGATGTTGACACCTCTTCTTACTCATATGCCCGTCGTCATCTGAAGAAATGGCGCATGCCCCCACCTGAATCCATCAAGATTGAAGAATTCATCAACTACTTTGACTATGATTATCCCCAGCCAGAGGACAAGAGTGTCCCTTTTGAGACTTCTGTGGCTGTGTCTGACTCCCCTTGGAACAAAGGCAGGAAGCTGCTGCACATTGGCATCAAAGGGTATGATGTGGACCCTGAGACTCGCCCATTCAGCAACATTGTCTTTCTTGTGGATGTCTCTGGCTCCATGGAATTCCCCGACAAACTGCCCTTGGCAAAGGAAGCCATCGAAATGCTCTTGAGCAAGTCACTCCTCCCAGAAGACCTTGTTTCCATTGTCACATATGCCAACAATGTTAATGTTCCCTTGCATCCCACTCCAGCAGCCCAGAAGGACAAGATCTTGAAAGTACTTTCTTCTCTTCAGGCTGGTGGTGGCACCTGGGGTGGGGGTGGTCTTGAAAAGGCCTATGAGCTAGCAGAGAAGAATTTTGACAAGGATGCAGTCAACAGGATTATTCTAGTGACTGATGGAGACTTCAACATTGGCAAGATGGACACTGCTTCTCTACAAAAGTATGTGGAAGGCAAGAGAAAGACTGGAATCTTCCTCTCTGTGTTAGGCTTTGGAATGGGCAACTACAAGGATACAACCATGAAGGCCTTGGCCAACCATGGCAATGGAGTGGCTTCCTACATTGACTCCTTGGAGGAAGCAGAGAAAGTCATGGTCACAGAAGCCTCTTCGACTGTGTTTCCCATTGCAAAGGTAAGGATTGTCAATTATTTGATACCAAATGCAATAACTAGTGTGCATGTCACTCATCATTGGATCTAACACTTGACCTGATTGTCACAGGATGTCAAGGTGCAAGTTGAATTCAATCCTGCCATGGTTGCAGAGTATCGCTTGGTAGGCTATGAAAAGAGACTGTTGAAGAGGGAAGATTTCAACAATGACAAGGTGGATGCTGGTGATATTGGCTCTGGACATACTGTAACAGCCATCTATGAGATTACCCCAGCTGGGTCCAATGATGGTCTTGTGTTTGATGAGTTGAGATATGGCAAGAAGGTGCTACTACCAGAGAGTCGAGAAATGCAAGAATCTGACAATGGCAACAACCCGGCCTTTGATCAGGAGTATGCCTTTGTCAAGATGAGGTACAAGCTTCCCGATGAATCAGAATCCAAGCTCATCAGCAAACCAGTTTCTGTAGAGGATCCCATGGACAAGCTCGTGGCCATGGGAGGGCCCAAGGTGCAAACCGTCATGCAAGAGTTTCAGTTTGCTACTGCTGTAGCCAGTTTTGCTCAGCTCTTGAAAGGAAGTGATACCATGAATGGCTCAATGGACTATGAAAAGGTGATTGAAATGGCTGAAGGCAGCATGGGTGAAGATCCCCACAAGTATCGCAAGGAGTTTATCAACTTGGTCCGCACAGCCAAGAGGATTAGCCAGGAACCCACCATTCAGTGAGGGAACAGTGTATACAACCAGCCGACTATGGAGAGCTCTACTAAGCAATTCTTTTAGTGTATTGATAATCAGATCTGTTACCGACATGTCCACCAGCGCTTTCCTAGCCAGCTAGAAACATTCCTGTTGTTACCTTGATCCTCGATCCGATTCGATTCTGAGCCTTCGATACTCCATCCCGCATCGTGACGATCTGCAGCAAAGGTAACAGTACCAGGGAAATTAAAGGATCTCCCCCATCTTGGCATGGATCCAAAGGACTCGGCCTGTCTATCCTGTTTTCTCTTGGATGGCAGCTGATACCCATCAGTTTCGTTGCGACGATGATTCAGCCCCAAGGTCCACATTCAAGTTGCTGACGAAGGCACTCCCCGGAATTCTGTGATGATTATTTTGGTGATGGAAAATTTGGAGATTTTGCTCAGTGTGCAGGAAGACGTACCCGTACCGGTACAGCGCTGTACGAGAATGAATAGACACGTTTTTCAATGACCACGTCACCACCCGGTTTCTAAAATTTAGAACAGAATTCTTTCTTTCTGCCCCAAACTGCTTTCTTCCCATCACAATTTGCGCAAACTTCCGAGGCTCTCAACCAAATCAACAACAATCCCCAACGACATCCAGCCAGCAAAGAAGCCTTGGTGCTACATTCCCAATTCCAGTGGGTGACGAAAGCAAGTTCGAGGTCATTCCCTGCGACCGTAGCTGACTAGCTGACTAGCTAGACTCATCACAAAATTCAAAAGCCATCTAACAAAACGCCAATCAAAATGAGATTTCATCCAGTTATCGTCGTGCCAACCTTGGCCGTTCTGTTCAGCACTGCCCATGGATTTGTGACCCCAGCAAGCAGAATATCTCACTGCTCTCCTGTTGCTACCACCACCAGTTGGGCTCTCCAAGCGGTCGATATGAAAGAACGCGAGGCTTCATTGGAAAAGCTCGCTGCTGTGGACGAACCTATTCCAGAATTCACGGAACTGGTGAAGGAAGAAGAAAACGAAGAATTCAAAAAGGGATTTTCCATCATCGCCCTGATTACCTTTTTCAATGCGTCACTGTCACCTGTCTGGCATATGGTCTACGAAGGAAATGGTCCACCGCCATTGTTCCTCAATGCTGTTGTCAGCGTTGTGGCATTTTTGGGTCTGGTGGCAGGTGGATCTCTGTTGGACAACTCGGTAGAATCCATGTCGGCTTTGAAAGATAATCAAGAAGAAAAGTGGAGTGCCAAGAGTTTTCGTGGTGGAATTGAATTGGGATTCTGGAAGGGATTGGGTACGTCCATGGCATAGCAGCATACTACGGCTGCCAATGATGCTCTCGTGAGCACAACGAAAGAACATAATTTGTTGTATATGTCTGCTAACCTTTCCCTTGCTCTTCGGCAATCATTGAACAGGTACCACTTGCCACATTTACGGAATGGCCCTCACCACTGCGAACCACGGTGCCTTTCTCTTGCAGCTAACCACATTGATTGTACCTGTCCTGCAAGGACTTCGTGGCGCCGAGGAAATCCCTCGTCAAATCC